TTTGTTCAAATTTTTTGCGAACATTTTGTAGAATTTCAGGTGTTATTCTCCTGCACTCAGCTATTATTCGTTGGCGAAGATCTATGGAATTAGGCTTGGTAGCAAAATATTTATTTTTCAAGTGTCCCCAAAGAAAATAGTCTAGAGGCGATAAATCCGGTGACCTTGCAGGTCATTCAATTGGGCCTCTATTTCCAATCCACTGGCTAGGGTAACGGTTATTTAACCCTAGAATACTGGACTGTGTTAAACAAACGTTAATACTGGACTATCGTATTTTTTAAGAAGGACAAGAAATTTTGAGAAAAAGCGTTTATTTAATAAAGTACAAAGGTAATACTAAGGATTGTGTAATATTAGACACATAAAAGAACATGCTTCAGGTAGAATTCTTTTAGTCTCTAGACGTGGCATATATCACCTTTATAGTCTGTCAGATAGTGACAGGTTTAGGTGCCCCATTTTCGCATACAAGCCTCGAAGGGGGTTGAAGAGTACATCGATTTTAAGTAGAATGAAAGGAAATTTACGAGTGGCTGCTGGGGATAACAAATCAAAAATTCGGTTTTTCCTAACAAAAACGAAATGCTGTTGTCCATTTTCCATGCAAGCCGTTTTCACTATATGATTAATTAATAGATCTAGGCTTCACAAAAACAAAGGCTTTAATATTGCAAGTGGCTAAAGGGTTGAAATAAGTGCGTAATCTTCTAAGAAAAAATCGAGATTTTGCCCGATTTTTCCACACAAGCCCATCGAATATATAAAAACGTACGTCGTCACTAGTCCGAAAAACATATTTTCTTGAATGATATAAGTGCATTTTGGGGGTCGGAAAATTTTTCTGATAAGGAAAATCGAATTTTCCAAGAGCCACTCGTAAATTTTCTTTTATTCTACTCAACATCGATGTACTTTTCAACCCTCTTCGAGACTTGTATGAAAAAATGGGGCACCTAAATCGGTCACTATCTGACAGTTTACTATGTTCTCCACATATTGGTTGCTTGCACCGGTTACAATATGTCGTGGTCATACGCCTCTTCTTGCTAGGACAATAGGAACAAGTTGTATGTTTCTTATCGTGGCACACTAGTCCTTCCTCTTCTGGGGAGATATTGAGAATATCTCGTATATCTTTTCTAAAATTGCGACGCATAGTATTATTGTTTACCCGCTCTCTCATCCATGATTCTGCAAGACAATGGCTTACTTTGATCATATACTCGTAACTACCTAACGTTTTTTGCTTTGTTTCAGTGTATTTGAAGTATAAATGACGTATGAATTTATGCTTGCAATATTAATTATGTCATAAAAAATTACCATCAGCCATCTCCGAGTTTTGCGGTTGGAATTCATATTCGAACACATCTGGTCGAATGAGTCTACTCCGCCCTTGGTTTCATTACAATTGATAACTATTGCAGATTTTCCTGATGCTGATATTTCAGCTCCTTCATGGACAAAAGACAGGAGTAAGACTATTTTTGTCTTTTTTGGTGTATATGGTACTAAGGTTTTCTTCTGATCGTGACAAAACATGGAATTGTTTGATTTTATATCTGCTAGATCTAATAATTCTGTAGGGATCTCTTTCTTGTTTTTACGAAGAGGGTTATATTAGTAAGGCATCAGCAAGTGGAACCGATGTGAACCAGTTGTCCATGGACGGATTTAGTTAGCTCTCTCACTTAGTGACAAGTCATTGGTTTTTGTAGATTTTCCAAGTAGGGACTAGCATCGACGATGTATTTCGAACTGGAAACGCATACCATGACAATCTTATTAATACCATATTTAGATGATTTATTGGGAATATACATGCGGAAGGGACAGCGACAGCGAAATCCAATGAGTTGTTCGTCGATAGTAAGGTATGATGAAGGTGTTCCTACAAATTGTTATAAAAATATCCCATATCTTACGAATGAATGAATCTTCTTTCTTTCTATTCTCTCTTGTTTCTTTAGCATCAAACTTAAGATAATTCATTAGGAATGAAAAGCGTTCGCCACTCATACATGCTCTGTAAAATGTTCCTGAAATTTTATTGTCGAACATATGTTTAGCAGACAAATAATTGTCTTTGTTTGCTGGCGACATTATGAGAATGGAAAATAATGTTTTCAACTTATTTTTTGTCGTTTGGAATACGTTAGTATTACTCTGATATTTTCGTGCTTGTCTAGCAATTTCGGCATTTGAAAAATAATATCTAATATTTCATCTGAGAAGAAGTGTTTCCTTTAGGACCAACTATAAAATGAACAATATTTCAGGCTGCAGTTCTTGTGCAATTATTTGAAGGCATTTTCGCAGACCATTTATAGCCATTCTTTCCTTTCAAAGAAGTTCTCTTAGGCATTATTATGAATTGAGATAAGGAGGCATCACTTGCTGATGCAATTGAAATTTGTTCATTTATTTCATCTATGGCACTTTCATCATCGTCTGAATAATCTTCTAATTCTTTTTTACATTATTTTTTTCCGCTAGAACACTTTCGTCACCTGAAGACTCTTCAATTTCATTTTCTAGATTGTCCTTCTTCCAATCACTACCGCTGTCTTCAAAAGGATCCGGCTCACAGTCCTCTCCACGCATTAAACGCTCCACTTCAGCCTGTATATCTCTGTCAGTTAAATTTTTTGTAGACATTTTCTGAAAAAAAAGTGAATATAGTTATGATAAATTGTAAAATAATAAAAAAATTTATTTACCTTTCAAGAAAAAACACTTTTTTTATATTTTATGACCGATGAAAATGATCAGTTGATAGTGCGAAAACTGTACTTGTCTACTAGACTTTCGTAAAATTTACGACGCATCGGCAAACTACCACATTTAGGGATAAGACATCAACTATTTGCACACACCACCTGCTAGGCATGACAGGATGGTACTGAGAGGCGCCGGGTGATGCATGAACCAGAAGTAAAAAAAACTGACAGACTGAGACGCGTAATAAAATTTACGAATGTCCAGTATTTTAGGGTAAACAATTCTCTTACAGCGCCAACATAGTGCGGAGGTGCTCCATCTTGCTGGAAATGAAACTGATCAACATCATGATTTGGGTCATTTTCTAATATTTCTAATAGTTGAATTTTTAGGAATGAAAAGTGATCCTACAATATAGACATTTATTTTTTCAGGGTGTTGGCTATGATACTCACGGAATAAATGTGGGTTACTGTCATCTCAGTAACGGCAATTATGCCTATTGAAAGCTCCATTCAAATAAAATGTACACTCATCGGAAAACCAAAAATATTAAATAATAAGTCAGGATCTGTAATTAAACACTGGCTCATTTCTTCACAAAACTGCAGGCTTCTATCAGGATCATCCTCGTTCAGCTCTTGTACTAATCTAGTTTTGTACAGATGAAATTTGTGAGCTTTTAAAATACTTATTATAGATAAACTGGAGACATCCGAGACTTCAGCTTGTTGACGAGTACTTTGCATGTTCCAAAACAGCGACTTCCACAGCTTCATTTCTGACGACTCGCTGCATCTGAATTTTCTTATTACAGACAGATCCAGTATCGGAAAACTTTTGGACTATTTTGGTAACATATGAATGATTCACATTTTTATTTGGATGATTGTCACTAAACAACCGAGCAGTAAGCCTAGCGCAACTATTATCGAAATTTGACATTACAATATTGGTATGACTTATAAAATTACCTTTTCAAAAATGTACTACACTTCGTATTTTTCCTATCTAAATTCTAGGGGTTGTTCATCCCACTTCTCGAGGGTTGAAGTGTCAATGATGCAATTAGGAAAAAAATGTGTCCCCTCCAAACAAAAATCGATATGTCCGAGCATTTCTTCTTTAAGTCTGAGGGATCCAAGAAAAGGGGGGTGGACCACACGTTATTACTAATAGATTGTTTAGTTATATAGAATATAAGAAACATCAACAAAAACCAAATGATAAGAAAAAAATATTTATATGTAAACTATCTTGAACAGGTAAAGGAGCTAATTGCGGGATTTGAACATCAAATTTAAAGCCAAAGTAGATCTGAAGAACAAACTTTTATGAGGTCTGCTACCTGGCATAAAGAAATTAAAAATTGGCTGCCGAGTTCATGAAAAATTCTACTGACCGCGCCAATTTTATTGTTTAATGATAAACAATAAAATTTGACGATTAAAAAAATACAACAGATGATCGCTAATTTATTTATACTAACAGCTTCACGTGTCACATTAATTATATGTACTCTCGATGTACTTAACCATTTAACAAGCAAAACTATAGAGACTTTTTAATCATTTTTTGAATTGATAAGGCTTAATATGCCATACTGAGAATCAAATTTCAAAATTATACATAGTTTTTTTCCAGTTAGTGATACGTATTTAAACAACAAACATTTTTGCGGTACATATTTGTACCATCAACTTTTTTGGTATGCATGCATATGTACCACTTCTCAAATATTCACAAATTTTTATAATTAGAAACATTTGTTTTGATCTTGCTAGGGTATCATCAAAAGTAACAAAAAGGCTGCCAAGTTACCATTAGGTATTTTCCTCTGCATCGACAGTGTAGCACTGAGCTACACTACTTCTGAATATCGTTCCATTTATACAAATTGTATGGATGGAACGATATTTTCAGAAGTGACGTAGTTTAATGCTATACTTTCGATGCAAAGGAAAATATCTATTTTGTCTATTTCTGTTCACTTTATTAAAACATCAGCACTCTTTGTCGCGATATCAGTGTGATTCTCGAAAAGCAAAAGCATTATTCACTTTCTGATACAAATATGTGCCATATTTTGATAGTTATAGTAAATATTTGTACCTCGGAACGAAGTCATGTTCAAAATAGATCTTAGGGTGGGGTGAATATTTCAGTCAAATATAACAGGAAGTTGATCAATAAAAACACATGGTACATATATGTACCAGTAACCGTTAGAGGGTTAATAAAAAACGCTCAAATTTAATAATTTTTTCTACTTCCAGGTTTCCAGTGGCGTACTCCAGGGCGTTCTCAACATTTCTCCCGAAAAAATCCAAGCCGTCGATATGGACACCATCAATTCTCCCATACGATACTCATTCATCAGTGGCGTACCAGAAACGTACAGTGATTATTTTAGAATTGACGCCGATTCTGGTCAGGTGCATCAAATCAAACCTGTTGACACTTCTACGACTAAGAAATTCAGCATAATCATCAAAGTAAGGAACGATTAGACTATTTTGACTTTTTTTGCTCATACAATAATAAACACCTACAGTGTATAGAAATTTAATAAATTTGACATGTCATTTTTATTATTTAAAGCTGCGTTGCCAAGTTGTCTTAAATGAGAAATCTTGGAACTAGAGAAATCGCTGATTAATTATTATTCCAGTAGGTCCGTAAATATAGCTGGAATGTTGGTATAATGTACAGGGTAATTAATAAATAAGGAAACCTTTACTTTTACCGCCTCAAAAATTGAAATAAAACTTAAAATGGCGTAGATAAAATAAATGAAGAGTACAGGGTAAAAAAGATGAGAGTCCATTTTTTGCCGAAATAAGACTAAGGCCCTTATTTATAAACAAAACTCCATGTCCATGAACTAAAATCGACGTTCGGTTACAACGTCTCTATAGTTCGAGGTGGTTCCGGTGTTATACTGGAATTTAGAGATGGCTATTAGCAAATATGTAACTGTTAAGTACATTTACGGATTTGTTACTACCCATTTCTAAATTTACGCGATATAACCGAACTTCGATTTTAGTTCAAGGACGACTTACCCAAGTCCGACTCAGCTGAGTTTTGTGTATAAATTCGGACCTTACACTGAATTCGTATAATATATCGGCTATAGAATACTATCTACCTATTGGAAACGGCTAAAAAGATAGTAGTACAACGATAAACACGATTTAAAATGTATAGTGGTGGGCAAAAAAGATAAGGGTACCAGAGGTTGTGAGCAAGAAAGATGACAGTCCATAAATGACAACGGCGCGCTGTTGCGCCAGCTTACAATCGTAAACAGCTGTTTATTTAGTTCACTGCCTAGTTACTAACGTGTTTTTAATGTCGTTTAATTTTAATGATGCATTTATTATTCTGTTTTTAAAGTTTTGTGGTTTATTTTTTCTTGTTGAATAATGGCCGAGCAACAAATAATAAGGAAAAGAAAATCATATGGACGAATGCAGGATGTAACTAAAAAGTTACGGTTAAGTAGTCATCGAACTGGACAAGACTACAAATGCTCAAAACTTAAATGTTTTCAAAATTTCAGTGTAGCCGATTTAAGCACGATCGTGTCTAAGTTTAATCAACTACAAAATTATTATGAACAATCCCTTTATCTGAGCGGATTAATAACGTGCAAACCTGTAACACGCCTTCGTCCCAGGAAATCTGAAGAAGAAGCTGACTTTCATTCGTGTACGTACACTTATAAGGTGAGATTCTTAAGAAACAACAAACCTTGTGAAATTCCAGTGTGTTATAAAGCTTTTTTAGCCGTACATGGCGTAACTGTAAAGAGACTACAAACTATACAAAGCGGATTGAAATCAAAGGGTTCAGCGCCATTAGATATGCGAGGAAAGCACTCTTTCAGACCCAACCGACTTTCCAGAGAAGTAACAGATTCAGTCATGGAACACATTAGATCTTTTAAGAGTAGGAAGTCTCAATATGGACTAGCTAAAACAACAAAGGTTTACTTACCTGCTGAGCTCAATATTAAGAAAATGTACTCTATGTACAAAGAAAAATATCCTGCTAAATTAGTTTCTTATGAAAAATATAGAGAAATATTCAACACCAAATTTAATATTGCTTTTGAGTACCGACGATGCGATACGTGTAGTACGTGCGATGAATTGAAGGTAAAAATTGACGACATTGAAAAAAAAATAAATCAAAATGCAGATGATGATCAAAAAGCATTGCAGTTACACACAGAACTACGAAGCTTGCAAGTTGAAAAAGAAGTACATATAAAAAGAGCCTGACATCTTTTACAAGCGTAAAAAATCGGCTCGACTCGAGGCTCAAAAAAAAACAAAACCAAGGAAGCTATTGTAATATATTTTTCTCTTCAACCTTCATCTATACTACGTTCTCTACATAATGCCGTTTTTCCCGTTTGAATCGGACCATGTGATACACGCTAAGGCCATTTTGGCTTTTCGTTCTGCGCATGTTTTTTCTCTTCTACGTTAATCTATACCGCGTTCTCTACATAACGCCGTTTTTCCCGTTTAAATCGGACCAATAGCAATAAAGATAGATACACGTTAAGGCCATTCTGGTATTTCGTTTTGCGCATGTTTTTTCTCTTCAACGTTAATCTATATCATGTTCTCTGCATAACGCCGTTTTTCCCGTTTGAATCGGACCACGTGATACACGCTAAGGCCATTCTGACTTTTCGTTCTGCGCATGTTCTTTGTCTTCTACGTTTATCTATACCGCGTTCTTTACATAACGCCGTTTTTCCCGTTTAAATCGGACCAATAGCAATAAAGATAGATACACGTTAAGGCCATTCTGGCATTTCGTTTTGCGCATGTTTTTTCTCTTCAACGTTAATCTATATCACGTTCTTTGCATAACGCCGTTTTTCCCGTTTAAATCGGACCACGTGATACACGCTAAGGCCATTCTGGCTTTTCGTTCTGCGCATTTTTTTTCTACATATTCAACATACACGTCCTTTCGACCTCTGAAGCTCTTCTCTACACTTATACTGAAGTTGCAGGAAAAAATGGTGCTGATGATGTTGCTTCACTACTATGGTGTTATATTTTTATCTGAATTTTGATGTGAAAGAGCTTACAATATTTTGTAATTTATGCTGTGGAAAAATAAAAACTTCACAGTGTTCAGAATGTTACATTGTTAAGAAAATCAAAGTGGTTTTTCCTATCCGCGGACATTTGTATCTTGAATGCGATAGAAATATGGGTTTGGTAAAACAGAAAACATATGTTGAACTCCCTCAAGAATGGAATGCAGTTTTAAGGAATTCCAGAACAAAACCAAGCTCTTTTAAAGTTATTTCTTATGAAGATCAATCCATTTTCAAGAGCTGGACAAAATTTCTAGCAGATATCTATATGACCAAGTGTCCTTTTCCTACAAGACTGGTCAGAGAATTAACTGTAACTGAAAATTACCCTCGTATGATGATACATAGGGGCAGTTATAATGGTCGAGAAATTGAAAATGTTGTCATAAAACAAAAAAGAAAGAGACTTTCGTTACCTGAAAAGTATTTCCCGCTTGCAACTTCAGCTTATGATGGGCCAATAGCTATACCTAAAGCCAAATTTGAAGACCTACAACATCTAAAAAGATTCTGTTCTCAAAAAGCACACAGGCTTCTTTTACAGCAATACCAGATGGTTAAGATTACAATTTTTGTAAATCATGGACCTTCATCTTTTTGCCAATTATTTTTTGTATTGGAATCAAAGTTTTTTTTATACTTTTGTATAAAAAATTTATAATTGTTTTGTATATTCTGTCAAAAAGGATTTTAGTTTAAGTTGGCGATAATTATATTCTACAATACTATTTTTGTATACCATGTTCTACAGTAGTCTTCCTAAATAAAAATCACAATTACTCAGAATTGAATTTTTTGGACCCTCATCTTCTTTCCCCTGTACTCTTCAAATGTTTCTTCAAAGAGCTATGTAAAAATATAAATATAATAACATAATTTGACATTTCCTATTATTTTTTTAATGACCATGTACTTTATGCTTCGGTTATACTGATTACGGTACAACCGAGGACTTTTAAAATAAGCAGAATATTAAAAAAATATATATTTAAAAATTGAGAAATATAGGATTTTACCTACAGGTATTTTAGAAATTCTGTATAAATATGATGTTTATGATATATTTTCCTCCGAGTTAAAACAATTGTTTATTTCCTTATTAAGATAAGGTTTGATATGAATGAACAATATTTAATCACAGTAATTTTACAAAAAATTCCCAAGCATAACTTTGATTTCTATTGTTTTAAAAATCTCGATGGAATCTAGACCGTAGATCACGACTTTCATTTTTTTAAATGCTTTCATCGAAAATGACGTCAAAATTATTACAATAATAATTATCAAAATCTTGATTTAAACTTATATTTTTAAACATGTTTTATTTTTTTTAAGTGAATATTCTTTATTGGCTCTTCGTTTTCTTTTTTGATAAAATTTTAATTTCCCCACAGGCTCAAGAAGATTCAGGCGCCAAGAGATCAACAACAGCTAAATTAACCATCACCGTCAAACCAGTTGACGCTCATCCACCAGACATAGAGCTGACTTCGAAAGAGGGATTCGTCAAAGAAAATTCACCTATCGGCAAAAAAGTTATGGATTCTAAAGGAAATCCTATTTCCGTACGCGTGGATGATAGAGATTTTGTAAGAATGCTTTCGATAAAATAATATTAAAAATAGTATCTATTACAAATAGTATCTATTAAAAATAATATCCATTAAAAATATTATTTTTTTAAAATAGTATCTATTAAAAATAGTATCTATTACAAATAGTATACATTAAAAAAGTATCTTTTAAAAATAGTATATCTTAAAAATAGTTCTATTAAAAAACAGTATTTATTAAAAATAGTATCTATGAAAAACAATATCTATTAAAAATTGTATCTATTAAGAAAAATATGTATTAAAATAGCATGTATTGCCTTAGACATTGGGTTACTATAAACTCGTTTGTGTCTTCTCCGTCTACTCTATAAACATTTTTCGTCTCTTTACCTTTCAGTTTTAATAATTTGCATAAATTTTTTTGTAATTCGAAATTATTTAGGGCTCTTAATAACTTCTTCTTTATACGAGGGTATATCAAATATAAACGGCATTGTTTAGATTAAAAATTCCTGAGCGGTTATTTATCTGGAAAGAATTGATGGGCAGTTAGCCCTTAGCTTTAGTATGCAAAGAAACCGTACGCGAGAAAGAAGTGCGTGTCTCCGTGGAGCAACGGATTATAATAAAGTTTTTGGCAAAGCAGGGAGTAAAACCAACCGAAATTTTGCGAAGATTGTAGGCACAGTTCGGGAATAATTTCTGTTAAGGGCCGTCTGTTTGCATGGCACCAAGAATTTTTTGGATGGCGTGAAAAGGTGCATCCGTGAAAGCAAAGACGCGATTGTCAGCCGGAAACGTATGACAACAGTGTTTTTTGATCAGCTGGGTGTTTTTCACGTTGACTTTATACATGATCAACGCACGATTAATGCACAATATTATTGTGAGTTACTTGATGCCGCAAAATTTTCATTTCGAAAAAAAAAAGGAAGAAGCAATCGGTCAGAAATATGATTTTTTGCATGAAAACGCCAGATCTCATGTGGTTAATGTCACCAGAAAAAAATTGGAAACATTTGGATGGGAAATACTGGAACATCCTCCCTATACTCCAGACCTTTCTTTTTGGACCCCTCAAAGAAGCGCTTGCAGGTCAGCGTTTCGACAATAACAAACCGGTGAAAGCTCCAATGGCTACAGGAACGTCCAAATAGTATCTACGATACTGGAATAAAAAAGCTACTAATCCGATGGGAAAAATATATTTTTAGGGGAGAATGTATGTAGAATGTTTTAAAACTTATTTAAATAAAGCTAAAAAAATTTACAAAAGAAATCCCGTTTATATTTGATACACCCTCGTATTTAAGTCTTGAAGGGTATAAATAACATCGGTATTTCGTTTTCATAAAAACATGTTACTACTTGTTTCCACATGAAGAGCTAGTCTGTTGTTGACCTACACTTTCAAAATCCACACTTATACTCTCCTAAGATGTTTTTAGTTTATTCCTCTAGTTGTCTCTTGATACTCTTGATAGTTGTGGTCAATACTGTGAATATTGTATTAGGTAATGCTGTTCCTCTGTAGTTATTGCACTTTGAAACATCTCCTTTTTATGTAATGGTTCAAACTATCTAGCATTCTTTCGGTATTCCAAATCTTTTATATTAAAAATAAATAGTATCTTTTAAAAATAGTATCTATTAAAAATAGTATCTATAAAAACAGTATCTATTAAAAATAGTATCTATAAAAATAGTATCTATTAAAAATAGTATCTATAAAAATAGTATCTATTAAAAATAGTATCTATTAAAAATAGTTATATTAAATATAGTATTTATTAAAAATAGTATCTATTAAAAAAGAGTATCTATTGAAATAGTATATATTAAAAATAGTATCTAATAAAAACAGTATCTTATAAAAATGATGTCTCATAAAAATGGAAAATATTAATATCTATTCAAAATAGTACCTATTAAAAATAGTACCTATTAAAAATAGTATCTATTGAAAATAGTATCTATTAAAAATAGTATCTATTAAAAATAGTATCTATTAAAAATAGAATCTATTAAAAATAGTATCTATTAAAAATAGTATATATTAAAAATATCTATTAGATATAGTATCTATTAAAAATAGTATCTATTAAAAATAGTTTCTATTAAAAATAGTATACATAAAAAATAGTATCTATTAAAAATAGTATCTATTAAAAATAGTATCTATAAAAATAGTATCTATTAGAAATAGTATCTATAAAAAATAGTATCTATTAAAAATAGTATCTATTAAAAAATAGTATCTATTAGAAATGCTATCGATTAAAAATAGTATCTATGAAAAATAGTATTTGTTACAAATAGTATCTATTAAAAATAGTATCTACTAAAAAGAGTATCTACTAAAAATAGTATCTATTAAAAATAATATCTAAAAAAATAGTATCTATTAAAAATAGTATCTATTAAAAATAGTATCTATTAAAAATAGTATCTATTAAAAATAGTATCTATAAAAATAGTATCTATTAAAAATAGTATCTATTAAAACTAGTATCTATTAAAAATAGTATCTATTAAAAATAGTATCTATTAAAAATAGTATATATAAAAAATAGTATCTATAAAAAATAGTATTTATTAAAAATGGCTATTAAAAATAGTATCTATCAAAATAAAATCTATTAAAAATATTATAAAAAATTCAAGAGGTCATGTATTTCTTAAATATTGTCCCAGATAAGGTTTAAATTAAATTTTTAACATTTTTAGGGTCCCGAAGATACCAAGCCGGGATACACGTTCGAACTAACCACCCCATACTTCGCCATTGACAAAGAAAACTACCTGGTGGTCAACGATAACAATTTGGACAGGGATCCGCCCAATCCAGGAAAGTTCAAATTTCAAATTGTTGCAAGAGAAAAACACGGTATCGCCGCAAGTGCCCCGATGTCAGTGACAGTACACTTGTTGGACGTCAACGATAACCCTCCAGTATTGCCAATTATACCACCCGTATCAGTACCTGCGGGAGAGGTTAAAAGAGTTGTGACTACGATACAGGCGACGGATAATGATGAAGGTGAGTAGGAAATGTAAAATTTACAGTTCTGATTAATACTACGATATTAATACTAGGATATTAATACTAGGATATTAATACTAGGATATTAATACTAGGATATTAATACTAGGATATTAATACTAGGATATTAATACTAGGATATTATTACTAGGATATTAATACTAGGATATTAATACTAGGATATTAATACTAGGATATTAATACTAGGATATTAATACTAGGATATTAATACTAGGATATTAATACTAGGATATTAATACTAGGATATTAATACTAGGATATTAATACTAGGATATTAATACTAGGATATTAATACTAGGATATTAATACTAGGATATTAATACTAGGATATTAATACTAGGATATGAATACTAGGATATTAATACTAGGATATTAATACTAGGATATTAATACTAGGATATTAATACTAGGATATTAATACTAGGATATTAATACTAGGATATTAATACTAGGATATTAATGCTAGGATATTAATACTAGGATATTAATACTAGGATATTAAAACTAGGATATTAATACTGGGATATTATTACTCAGAGATCAATTCCGGGATAATAATACTGGTATATTATTGCTGTTATATTAATACATGTATATTAACACTGGGATAATAACACTGGGATACTAATACTGGAATATTAATTTTGAATTATTTTAGGTGAAAACTCGGTCGTAACCTACTCAATTTACCACGTCTCCAACAACGGCAACAACAAATTCACCATCAACCCCAAATCGGGTGTCATAGAAACCGTTGGAAAATTAAACGCCGGTGAGCAGTACAGTCTGACTGTCCAAGCAACTGACACTGGTGGTTTGTACAGTCAGGCTATCGTCGAAGTCACCATAAGTCCCGGTCCAAACACGCAAGCTCCTGTTTTCGAACAGTCTATTTACGATATCGAAGTCAGCGAAGGGGCTACCATCAATTCGACCATCGCTACGATAATGGTAAGTATGAAGACCAGTACACATAGTTTACACATGCATTAGTTCTGAAATATATATAGTAGAAAATCTGTAATTAATTTTATCTTTTAGGCCACAGATCCTGAAGGAGATCCAGTAACATACTCTATAGTGTCTGGAAACGACTTAAGACAGTTTGCTATTGGTTCAAAAAGTGGCATTATCACTATTATTAGGCAATTGGATAGAGAAGACTTAAACAGATACCAATTAGTAAGTAAAGATTTTTCAAATGTAAACAGTATATAGAAAATATTTGCTACTTATCAGCCTATGACTATGGTGTTAGGTCCCTATATATCTCCAGACCTTTGTCTAGGTCTATCTGATCTACGAGGTATTGCTAGAAAGAATCTGATTTTCACAAATTTGAGATTATCATCTTCAATATACTCTTTTTTTGATTTGCGCATTAAACCTCTTCAAGTCTTTTACAGTATCTGCTAGATGATAAATTGGTTGTTTTCCAACATTTTTGGTACACGATTTATGGATAAATCATTGTTTGTTCTTGTTTAATGGCATTTTAAGAAGTCTTACATAGCTACTACTGACAGTCACCAAACACCAAAAAATTGCGTTATCCCTTTATAAAATCCTGCGGTACGCATGCGGATCTATTACTAATCTACTCGTAGAGCGGGTTACAAAATATTGATCTCGAACACGGATAGGGTTAGTAACCATAGGTAAACGAACAATAGGATCCATAATCTTTCTGATCCGAGTAAGTTTCCGAAAACGCCCAATGAAGATAAGAATTATTTCTGTTTAATTTTCATGTTTTTGGATTTCTTAAACACTCTGTATAGTGCACTTTATAAAATAAATATTATTCAGAATAACCAGTTTATAGCAACATTCTCGTAAATATGCAGATATAAATACGTTAAAAAAATGTTGATTTGGCATTATATTACGAATACGATATCCAAAACCTTTTAAAAACCGGTTATATTAGAACATGAAAACTATATGGATGTATTTAATTATAGCGTGCAAAGATAACAGTGTTCTCGATGCATTAATATTGTCCTCTTTATTTAATTTTTCTCTGTTTTCGTTATAGTACCTATATCTACGATTAATATTATCTTTCTTCCCGGTGGTTTTAGAGATATCCGTTCTTCACAGTTGTTTTAACTTTCTTATTCTCCTCTACCTATTTTTTTCCTGGTCTTGTCTGACTTACAGTCTGAATAAAAGCGCAGTGCAGTGCACCTCGTTCTTGTTCGCCGTTTTTAACCGACGCACTATGGTTTCAATGAACCAATTTTTTTAATAAAAAAAATTTATATTATTTAAAAATAATATAAATAAACCTTATTCTGTTGACAAAATTGTTGTACTTTAATGTTAAAGGAATTAAATTTAACCAATAAATAGGAAAGGTTATATGTTGTTAATGGGATTAAACTTTTTTTAATTTCTTGACATTAAAAGTATCACTTCAATACCTAAAATCAAAGAATAAAAAAAACAAATAGTTCAGGAACTATCTTGAAAAGTCACTATAACTACTTACACATATCATTACCATTGTCTTTTCTGAGGTTTATTATAATAGAGTCTATTAAGTTTTCCATTGCTATATCCACTTTCCAAAATAAATTTTCCACTTTTTCAACATAATCAATAATGCATTTTGTCCATTTACATCTAAAACTTCCTTCAAAAACTAATTTCGCATATCAGGTAATTAAATGTTGTATTGTTTTGAGAAACATAACCTTTTAATTGTGACCAAATCAGCTCAATGGGAATTAACTCTGCGTGGTAAGAAGGCAATATGAGAATTTAAATTTTTTCTCGGGATATCTCGTCTATAATACATTTTTTTAATTTATTTTTATGTTGCTTTGCTATTACGAGTAATATCTTCTATTTTCCATCTTGTTGTAGGTAGTGACTCCTTTAATCAACTGTGGTAGAGTGCATTATCCAGAACAAAAACGGAGTTGGTAGGAATTTTTTTTTAAATATTCTGAAACCAACCCAGATAACAATTATACATTCTTAGCATATTCTTAGTATATACTTTTTAAGAATACGCAGCATATGCTGAGAATATACTTTATTTGCATTTAATACATTTTCAGAAGTATATGTTACGTGACGTTGTTTATACGTGCTAGGTAGTTACTGAGAATGTACTTCAAGTATGTGTACAGTATACAATAAGTATCTACTTTCTTTTGAAAGTACATTCTAAATATATGTTAAGTATTTTAATTTAGTGCATGCTGGGCATATACTAGACACCCTAATTCAGGATTTTTCATTAATATTTAACATTAAAGAATAAGTGTATACAATAAAAGTCGTGACCATTTTTTAAAAATTTATACTAATTCTTATTTTTATTTCAAATTCTTTCTTTGGCCTTAACCAACCAATATTTTTTGTATCAGTGGCTTGAGTTTAATTTGCCTTCCATTGAATCTTCATTGAACCTAAAAAATAAAAAAAAAATCAACAAACTTGATACATATACAAATGAAGTGTAAATAACTTCGGGAATATTTTAAATATTTTTGTCGAACGTAAAACATTCTTATATAACTTTAAATTATAATTTATACTAATACAAAATTCCTAATCAATTAAAATACATAAGATACGGCTATGAATTAAAGTTTGACTTATCCGTCAAAAGAAAAGGTTTATTGCGGTAAAAACCATGGAAACTTTTATTAAGCCGATCAGACGTATTTAAGTTTTCATTTTAACTACAAATAAGCTTTGAATAATAATAAAATGTTTACCTCTTGAACCTGTACTACGTTCTTTGATAAAATTGCAATCTATTTGACGCATGTTAATTCATCACCTTAGTCCCTTGTACAAATTTGTACAAGTCCTTGACAGGGTTGTATTCTATAAGTTCTTCGATCAACATGTGGTTATTCAAAAGGTGTCTATTTTTTGCGATCAGTGTTTCGAAGTACCACAGTATATATTTGACATTAAATATAAATATCTATTAAAAATAGTATTTATTCAAAATAGTATCTATTAAAAATAGTAGCTATTAAAATAGTATCTATTAAAAATAGTATCTATTAAAAATAGCATCTATTAAAAATAGTATCTATTAAAAATAGTATCTATTAAAAATAGTATCTATTAAAAATAGTATCTATTAAAAATAGCATCTATTAAAAATAGTACCTATCTAATAAAAAGAGTATATTCATAGTATATTCAAAAGAGTATATATTGAAAATAGTATCTATTAAAAATAGTAATAAAATTTTAGTAAATATGCAGACATAAAAATGTTAAAAAATTATATTATGAATACGACATCCAAAACCTTTTAAAAACCGACTATATTAGAATATGAACACAATATATATAAGAAATGAATCGAGAGTATTTAAAGTGTATAAAATTGAGTTTTATTCAATAAAACACTGTAAAAATTTGTCTAAGCGCTTTCGGCCTATTAGGCCATCATCAGAGACTCTATAAAAGAGAAAAATGGAGATGTAACAAATATAATCAACTCGTAACATTACTAAACATTAAATAAAAACAGAAATTTTTACACTTACTCGTCAAAAACTATAGAAGAAACATGAAAAGTGAACTAAATTAAAAAGGACAGCAACAGACCAGTCCCAAGACAATATATATGTTCGGCAGTTTCTAGCTCCTTGGGACAAAGTCTACATAATAGGTCCCCATTATACACGCCTATTTTTTTCAGGTGTTCAAACCATGTCCAGTCATGCGTCCTGTTATTGTTTTCAAATGGTCTTCATAAAGACTAGTTTTCCTGTTCTTTTTGGACTGCAAGGTTTATATCTGGTCCCGGTATTTCTTCTGGCCCTCTTTTTGCAACTTAGTCAGCTCTTTTATTGTCCTCGATCCCTTGATGACCTGGCACCCAAACTAGTTTATCTATTTATTTTGTAGGTTATCAAAGCAGAAGATGCAGGAAAACTTTCCAGCACGGTGAGAGTTAACATCAAAGTAACGGACATCAACGATAAAAATCCCGAATTTGTCGGTGATCCGTACCATTTTAAAATTAAAGAAGGTCTAAATAAAACTTCGGTAGGATTCGTAAAAGCCACGGACGCCGACGAGGGTGCTAATGCTAAAGTCACTTATTTTATACCGACAGATTTACCGTTTGATATTGATAACGAAACCGGAGAAATTACAACAAACAGACCACTGGATTATGAAAAACAGAAGGTGAGAAAATCTAAATACCTTCAAAATTATTATTAGCGTCATTTTCATCTTTTAGGAGTACCAGTTCGTTGTCACGGCTAAAGATGGAGCTCCGGATCCTAGAATAGCAACTGCAACGGTTTCTATTGAGGTACTAGACGTTGAAGATGAAGTGCCGGTATTTATTGTACCTAAATATGAAGCTACAGTACCAGAAAATGTGCCTGACTACTTCGTTACTAAAGTCCAGGTAACAAAAAATGTCAACATAATTACATCAACGTCAATTTCTTGGTATAACCCCGTAGCGACAGTTGATTGTTTATTTTTCTGCGCATGTCCGTAAATAAGCGGCAAATACGTCAAACTGGCATATGTATATTGTCAATAGATTAATGGTGGTTGATTGTTTTGATTGATTGTAATGTCCATTTTGATTATATTTAGACTTAGTTTTCTTCTTTCATTTATTGTGTGATATTTTATTTAAACAGGATATTTGAAGTTTCTTTTCTTAGTGTAGAAGTAAGCGGCAAAAACGTCAACTATCAATAAAAATCTGACCACTCCGACATCAAAGGAGCCAACTGTCGCTACTGTATTCTTAATTATACTGTGGTATAACGCTCTTGGTATTATATTTTAGGCCAGTGATCCAGATACAGTGAAAAAAATAACATACGTCATCCATCAAGGACCAACCGATCTTTTCAGGATAGAGGAAAATACCGGCTCCATTTATACAACTAGAGGACTTGATTACGAAAGAGAAAGTCAACACATTTTAATAATTGGTACTTTGGAAAATATGTCTAATAATAATGGCAGTACTACCAAAGTAATAGTAAACGTTGAGGTGAGTTATATCTCAAAAAGATTTTCATTCTTTAAGAAATTAATAAATAAACTTAATTCCAGGACCGCAATGACATTCCACCAGTTTTCACGATAATACCCCACCCCATAACGTTAGAAGATGACGTAGCTATTGGAACAGTAGTTACTACGCTTGTTGCCACTGATTCTGATGGTACTTCCCCAGGAAATAAGGTGAGCACAACCGCCAAGGTAAATAAACGAGCAGAGCTCACTTTGTTGCGGTTTTTGCACGTGATCACTTAGATCCAAATACACTATAGTCGAATTTGTTCATTTTGAGACGTTACCTCAATATAAATGCCATAAAAAATTTGGCAACACGACATAAATCATTCTGTCGTTTTTTTTGCTATTCCTGTCGACCAATAACTATTTGTAAACATATGTGGATGTTATTTTCTACAAACTTCTCATAATATTTTATTTCAGGTCAGATACGAACTTGTTGGTAGAGGAAAAGCCGAAAAATACTTCCAAATTGATCCGGACACCGGAGTTTTACGAGTAACTAACGATTTGAAAAAAGAAATTGACACTGAATACCAAGTACGAACCATTAAAATATAACACAACTTCACGTTTATTAAACAATCTGTTTTTTTTTAGGTTGACGTACGAGCTTTCGATATGGGCGACCCCCAACTGTCATCTGTCATTACGGTTGACGTTTACATTCAACATGTGGCGACCGTGGCACCGGAAGTAGGTCTGCGGTTCGCTGATACTTCGTACAGCTTCCAAGTACCGGAGAACGCCACGGTGGGTTACAAAATTAAGACGCTGACGATTGTTAACAGTCAAACGCACGGTACAAACATACCTTTGAAGTGTCAAATAGTGTCTGGCAATAAAGAAGGTAAGACTGAAGGTAGTGATTATCATTATTGGGTACCCATATAGGACTACTATAATGTAGACGCGAGTTTTATTTTTCTTCAAGAAAAAAATTTTTTTTTTTTTTAATTAAGAAGTATTTTTAATACGTCTTTATTGAAGAAAGTCAAGCTAAAAAATGAATATATATTTAAATATTTTACATTTAATACACATCTATTGTGTTAACTATTTTAGCAACACATAACTCGTGTCCTTTTTTTGTCAAATACAAGTACCGGTTATTTATCTTGATTTGGTGTCATTCTTCATGTCCTTGTCCATTCCTCCGTTCTTTTTAAGTCGTGTTTCAGTTCCTTCTTTCTTGTTGTTTTCTGAGGATAACTGAACATTTGAATTATCACGCATTTAATCACCATCTATCGCCAACTTAATTAATTAAGTAAATCGAGTTTAAAATTTATGGAAAGTTTAGTTATGGATGGTTTAACTGTAAATATTAAAAGTTTGGTTAAAAATTTACTGTCAGTGAAACCAAAATTACGTCACACTAATATCCCGTTTTTATGAAGCTTCGCTAAAGCGAAAAACGGAGAATATGGCACCTTAGAACTTCGTGTTGCATTATAAACTACTGTTAATTTCAGGTAAATTCTTCATCAACGTAACGGAAGACCGCAATTGCGCTCTCTATCTAAACAGCACCCTCGACTACGAAACAGAAGAATCCTACCAATTCGAAGTAGAAATCATGTCGTTGAAAGGCTTCATCAACAAAGAATTCGCCGTGGCTCAAATAACCGTAAACGTACTTGACGTCAACGACAACGAACCATTCTTTATCTACCTTTCGGGTGATTATCAAAAATACTACGCCGCCATCTCTGATTCGTCTCCGATATCGTCGACCGTATTGCAGGTCAAGGCCGACGATAAGGACAGTGGGAAATACGGGAAAATTCAGTATTCCATAGCGGGAAATTTGAGCGAAGAGTTCTTTAAAATAGATTCGTCGACCGGAATCGTAAAGACGAAGAGGTCCTTTGAAGATGTTGATATAACTATTTTACCCATTAGGTAAGTTTTTGACGTAGCTGTATTAACCCAAGGTATATTTTTAGCAAATTTGTATTTTGCTAATACCAGTTATGCTAGAATGTTGCCTCCTGTACAATAATCTCTATATATATATATATATATATATATATATATATATATATATATATATATATATATATATATATATATATATATGAATAATTTTGTAATTCTACATTTGTTTTTAATAAAAGGTTCGAAGCTCTTGCCAGAGATAATCCCAATTCAACGACAGACTTCTTCGAAATAAGAACCCAAGTAGTGGTAAACCTGATTTCGCAAATAAATCGACTCATCCTGGTGATTGGAGATGCTAAACCTGACATGGTCCAAACCAAACTAGACGAAATTACCAGAATTCTTCAAGAACAGTCTGGATTGATAGTTGGTATTGAAAAATTAACGTCCAGGGAATTCGTAGGAGGGAATAACACTTTAGAGACTGATCCAGCTGCTACTGATGTCTGGTTTTACGTTATCGATCCAGAAACTGATGAGATATTAAGCAGAAACAGTTCATTGGTTAAAAGGTAAGTTTTGTGAATTTAAAAAAAATGTTTCTTAAGGTTTTTGTAAGTTAAATTGTACTAGCATTTGACGATTGAGCTAGCTGATTAATTTAGTTTAGTAGAATAGAGCTTTCCTTTAGTTTGTTTCAGTTTCTTTGTCGTAGATTTCTTTTGTATTAAATTATTTCCTTGAATGATTTAATTGGGACTGCGGCTGTTTTATTCTAGGTATATACGTGATAACAGAGTTAACATAATTTTTCTTATTAAAAAGTTGTCCGTTACATTATGAATTGATTAAATAAATATCAATTTGTTACCTTGAATGACTTGGCTAGGGCCTTAGGTCACTTCATTTCAGGTATTTACATGCTATCCGGATTTACACTTAATTAAATAAAATAAAACAAAAATTAATTAAGTCACTCCTTTGACAAATATTATTTTTAATTTATTCTTGGCACTACTAGCCAAACGGTTGTATCGGTTCAATTCAAATTAAAACGGTGAATATTAAACTATAGTTACTCATCTACACTTTTACTTGTTTTTTTACTTTAACTGTGCGAAAATAAATCATTTGCTTATTCAAATAATTTTATTATAATAAACCTACTAAAAATATTAGAAAAATTACAAGAACATAATTCAAATATTTATTTTTTCCATGCTTTTCCAACAATTTCAATCACTTTTCAATCACCTAGAAACCATTCGAACATTTCTAAATATTGCCGGAATGACTTGGGAATTTAAATTAAAAAAAAAAATTAAATATTCGCAATCAACACCATAACTAATTTACTTATTCACGATATTATAGAATAATTTCAAAAATTACAATCAATTGGAGTAAGAACGTAACTACTTAGAAGAGTTAAGCCTGTCTCACATGCACGATTTTTTAGATTTATTGGACATTACATTAATTGTTGAAATAAAAATGTTACACGGGCCGCAATATTTTTTTTGTAATCCATTTAAAATACGTTATGGATCTCTAATAAATAAAACACAAAACATAAATTTTATCCCGTCGGGTTACTGCAAAAACATTTTTAGAGTTTCGAGAAAACGCTGTTCAAAAGGTTAAAATTGAATAAAAAATCACTAAAAGCTTCAAACTGTTTAATAAACAATAACTCCAATTAAAATAAGGTATTCAAAACATAATTAGTCTTCACGAAGTATGAACTAAGAATTCGTTGGTTGGTAACAAGAAAAAAAGAAGAAAAAAACGTCACTTAGCTTATTTTAGCTCTCTACTCTACATACACATCATAATATTCAATGTATGTGTTACTATCTTCAATTTAAGATTCAGGTGCCGTGTCTTTAACATTATTGGATACAGATAGATTGTGATAATAATGGTGAAATTCATCACGTGTAGCACCTGATTTGCAAAGTTTTAGTAAATCTTTCTTCTTGTACTTTTTTGTAATTATTTTCAGAGCTATTTTTTTCACCCTTTCAGGATCCTTCTATTGGTTTTTGAAGGTTAGCTGAATCGCGTAGAGAAAGGGTGACGTAATCACCTTGATGATTTCGGAACAATCGAGAAATGCTAGAGACTGCTCTAAGCAAAACCAAACAAATGGCTTGGGCAAAATGTTAAAGTATTTGAACAAATACATTCAACAAAAATAAGTGTTCTGGCCTTTATCTTGTTTCGACAGAAACACTATTAGGAATCTATCTACATTTAGCAAAAATAAGTTATATGTCTCTTATCTGGTTTTGGTAGACACACTATTAGCAATTGAACACAATGTTATGATTTTGTTTGTGCATATTGTGAATGTATTAATATGGAGTTAGTTTTTATTGGCCATCTGTTTATTATTATTCGTTCCACTTGTCTTGTTTATGTCGTATATTATTTGAACTACTTTGGAGACGAAAGTGCCCTTAACTCGAAAATGACAAAAGTGAAGGTATCTTGATTTTTGCAGTATACCCAGGATCCAAACATTTATTTAAAAATTAACGTGATATTTAGCGCAGTGGCCGATGAATGTTTTCGCGCATTTTGCTCAAGATTTTAAAAACAGAAAACTTTAGTTTTAAAAAGCATTTTCCTAATAGTGGTTCGGGCCGCAAAAAAGGTATTGGAGGGCCGCAGGTTGAGTATGGCTGCTCTATACCTTTTTTTGAGCATTCGTTGCTTGAACTGTTTAATGTCTAGTCCAGTTCTACAAACTGCAGATGCTGCATATAAAGAGGCGCAACCCCTTCATGGGGTAGCCACTATAAAGGTAGTATTTACGAGGATTGTCCGGTAACTATATACGTGGCCTTAGACAGAGATGGTGCGAATTCGGAGGAATCATTTTTACCATTCTGTAAATTCATCTTTAGGGTCGGTCTTTTCACCTTCAGATAAAGTTCCAGTTAATTAACCAACGGATATATTATCCGAGAGTTACTATCTGTTAGATAATTTGGTTTCCGTCTTTTCAAGAGAAATAATCTGTAGGGAAGTTATCTGGTACTGTTTAACGTTCTGTAACTACCTTCATATTAATGTATTTATGCGTGCGATATGTCACTGCTCTCACTGTCACTTGTTGTCGTTATTTCGTTCTGTCACCTATTTGAAAGAAATTGTATTTTTCTGAAAATATTTGGTATTTAAAACTCCAAGCAAGTGACAAAAAAGAAAAGATCGACCAACTTTCAATAAGCAAGAGGATGCCTAAAACACAAAGCAGTACTACAAAATAGTTTGCATTATTTGCCATAATATATACTATTTTATATATGTAAAGGCTGTTTTTTTATTATATCGCTTATTTTTCTCAGTATTTTTTCAAGAATAAATATACAATTGTACGACACAAGTAAACCAGTATTTATAAAAATGCATCTTCAAAAACGTCCATAGATTCGTATCACATTATTTATGTCATATCCCAGACAGCACAAATAGGTCCATTGGACGTCCACTCGATATACAATTTTGGATGTCCTGGACGTCCAAAGATGAGTTTTTTCTGGACTTCCGACGTCCAATGGACGTCCAGTGAAGTATACAAATGGCACACTTTTGACCGTTCATAGGACGTCCAATTCTGGATTATATATGGACGTTCAATACTGGACATTCAAAAAATGTCCATTCCTGGATTATATACCATTGAGACCACATCCATGGGCGTCGTTACACAATTCTATAGGGAAGGGCAAAATTTTGAAATTTAGAATGTTATTTGTAGGAAAACAAAGAAAATTAAAAATAAAAGATAATTTTCTTATGATGGATTTAATTATTCTGTGACGTCATAGCTTATTTCCTGTTTTTCCAGAAATTTATTTTTAAACCCTTTTTCTTATTGAAAATTTGAATTTAAGGGACATTTTTGTATAAAAAGCGTGTATTGAAAATTTTCTGTCAGTAACATATTTAAAAAAATATTTTCCAATATTATGGTCATTTTGACAGCTGACAGAAAATTTTCAACAAATGATTCCTATCCATAAATGCCCCTAAAATTCAAATTTTCAATAAAAACGGGGTTTTCTATTTAAAAATTAAAAATAAATTGAGATTTTCTGTTATTTCCGATAAAACAGAAGTAAGCCATGAATCCAGTTTATGAGAGTATTTGTCCCAAGCTTTTAAACAAATAAGTTTTAATTCCAATATCTCAATTAACAACGAAGATAAAAGCGGATGGAATTATTAAACGGTTTGCTAATAATAAAAATGCTTAGATACACCACTGGTATATGGTAAATGACTATCAATGGTAATTTCGAAACCTAAAAAGATTTTATAAAGTTCGTACATTCCTATGTGTTTTTCCATAAACGAATTAATAGTAACATATTTAGAAAAAATAATATCCAATATGGCGGCCATTTTGACAGCTGACAGAAAATTGTCCCAGAAATTTAAATTTACAATAAAAAAGAGGGTTTCCTTTTTAAATAAAAAAAATCAATTTTCTATTATTTCTGGAAAAACCGGAAGTAAGCCATGACGTCACAGAACAATTGAATCCAAAGTATTTGTTCTAGTCTTTCAAACAGAACAAAAATATTCCGATATCTCACTGAATAGCGAAGATAAGGGGGAGTGGAACTTTAGTAGTAACCCTAACAATGTCACTGACCTATTTGACAAAACTGATACTTAAGTTGTCATAACAAGTATCTAATAAATAAAATAACCCAACAAAAAAGACAAAAACTAAAATAAAGAAAAAACAAGAAACTTAAAACACATTTTTAAAAAACAAACAGAAGGTGTGATATATAAAAGAAAACGACGCCCATGACCACATCCCCACTTTTTTTACGCAACCGCAACTCACCACACACTATTTTATATTATTAATAATTTATTTATTATTTTCGCAACCCGCTATACTCCATTTATTATTTTTTTTATTAAAAATCACTTGACCAGAGCAGGTATCGAACTCACGACAGGTCCATTATCTTTCTGGGCATTCAAGCGCTAGGCGACCTTGACCACGAAGCAACTTGAAAAATTCTTACTAGATACGGTATTAATAGAATAAGATTTCAAACTTCCGCGGATAGAATGAAATGTAATAGATTCAATTTGTCAATTTTTAATGACCAATTCTATTAAAAAAAGAAAGTGTATATAAATGGGTATTATCGGGTAGGTTAAATAAATAATGACCTAAGATGGACGTCCACTGGACGTTAAAATAATACTAAACTTAAAATTAAGTCCAAAAACAGACGTCCTATGAACATCGAAATGCAGCTGTCAAATTAATGATCGTAAACGGATGTCCGAATACGGATATGGACGTTCTGGCCCTCAAATGGATCTAAAATGGACGTCCATTGGACTGTGTGTGCTGTCTGGGATATACCTACTTATCCATCAAATAACTACTTTAAGGGTCGGTCTTTTCACCTTCAGATAAAGTTCCAGTTAACTAACCAACGGATATATTATCTGAGAGTTACTATCTTACAGATAATTAGGTTTCCGTCTTTTCAAGAGAAATAATCTGTAGGGTAGTTATCTGGTACTT